GGGCGCGCTGCTGCGTGAGCCGGTGTACAACTGGCAGGCCACTAAACCCACGGTGCAGGAGCGCTTCGCCTTCCTCTTCAACAACGAGGTGCTGTGCGACGTGCACTTCCTGGTGGGCAAGGGGCTCAGCTCGCAGCGCGTCCCCGCGCACAGGTGGGCCGCCGAGACGCCGGACCCTGCAACCCCAGACCCTGCACCCCTGGACCCTGAACCCCACCCGGACCCTGCATCCCAAGAACCAGCACCCTGGAACCCTGCACCCTACCCAAGATCGTGCATCACAAACCCTGCACCCCACCTGGACCCTGCACTTGAAACCCTTGTAGCCTACCCAGACCCTGCACCCTCCCATCCTGTTCCCCTCCCGGATTCTGCATTTCACCTGGATCGTGCACCCCATGAACCAGCACCCAGAACCCTGCATCCGAGACCTTGAACTTCACCTAGGATGTGCATCTCAGACCCTGCACCCCATCAGACCTTGCATCCCTGGGTCCTGTACCCCAAACTGCAGTCAAACCTTGGACCCTGCAACCCAACCCTAATCTCAAGACACTGGACTGCACCCAGATTCTTTATCCCTAGATTCTGCACCCCAAGAACCCGCAGTCCACCAGGACCATGTACCTCAGACCCTACACCACACCCGCACCTTGCATCACCCCAAGACCCTGAATCTAGAGGCTCAGGCCCTGTAAGGTCACCTGAACCCTTCCATCCAGGGCCTTTCTTGCTTCCTGAATCCCCAGTCACCCCCACCTCTCCTTGTTTCCCAGCTTGTCCCGTTCTAGGAACCCCCTCCATGACTTCCCCATCCCCTCCTTCCCCCACCCACCGTCTTCACACCCTGTGTTTGTACCTCCTGCCATCTGACTTAGGCCATCTCTCTCCAAGACACCTGCTTGTGCTTCCCTGTGTACCCCTAGTTTTGCTCTTGCCTCTCGTTCTTTCTGCCTGCCTCAGTTCTCCGCCAACCCCTCTCACCCCCAGACCTTACCAGATAGATCTCATTCCATGCCCCGCCGAGCTTTTGGGACATTCTTAGAAGGGGTTGAGGACTCTCAAGAGTCCCGTAAATGCACTGTCTGGCCGGTGCTGCTCTGGGCACTTTTGAGTTTGTTGTCTTGGTGGCAGCCTGGAGAACACAGAAGTGGGTGTCCAGACCCTGTGAAGGAGAGAAGTGGTCTCTTGCTGTTAGGAGTGCTGGGGGTGCTGAGACCCTGAGTCTAGAGGACTTGAGTGTGTGTGTCCACAGCAAGGACAGAGGAGGAAGAGTGAAGGGCACTCTAGCCCCGTGGGGGGCTTGCCAGGTGGTAGGGTGGGCAGTGGAGGACGTGGCTTCCAAGTGGAATAGGTTTCTTAATCGCATCATGGCAGGTGGCTGAGAAGCCGCCAGTGGTGTGACTGGATGGACATCAGCAGCAGGACCCCTTCATCTTGAGAACTCTGAACCTCAGTTTCCATACCTACGTACTAGGTCAGACCACCCCTTCTAGGCCTGCTGGGATATGGTGACTTCATACTGTGGTTCCACAGAGACTGGAGTCCACTGGTCGCTGTGGGGAGGAGGAGTGATCTGCGGGGTGGGGGGTCTAGCAGTCCGGGTCCTAAGTCCCACCCACCAACAGTGTAGCTTAGGGTTGGCTAAGAAAAGCAGTTGTGTGCGGCCATACAGGCCTTGAGCTCAGCTGTGTCTTGGCCAGGGCAGGAGGACTGTAAATTCCAGGTCCACCTGCCATCTAGGAGATTCTGTCAGAGAAAGGAAAAAGAGTGCGCTGTGGTGGCCCTTTAGTCCCAGCACTTGGGAAGCAGAGGCAGGTGAATGAATCTCTGTGACTCCAAAGTCAACAGCAAATTCCAGAACTGCCAGGGCCACTTAGTCAGAGTGCCTCAAAAAACAAACCAAAAGAATGACCAAAAAAGAAAAACAAGTAAATTGAGGGCTGGGGGCGTAGCTCAGGAGTAGAAGGCCCCCTAGGCTCCTCCCATGAGGGACTGGGTTGTGGCACTCCTGCCTACCCTGTTGTTTTTTGTTTTGTTTTGTTTTGTTTTTTTCTTTTGGAGGAGGCCAGAAAATGTCTTAGTGACTAAGAGTGTGCTCTCTTGTAGAGGACAATAGACTCAGTTCCTGGTGGAGGCGCTTGCGCTCTTGTGCCTGTAATTTAAAGGAAGAGGGGGATTGAAGAGCAACCCCCCACAACCTGCAAGAGGCTGAAGGACCTCCCAGAGGCCTTCACAGACCTGTGGTCCAGAGTGTGGCCTTTAGGACCCTGTACCGTTCTGTTTCTTTCTTTTCTTTGGGGTCATGAGGAAGAATCCTGGGCTCTGTGTATGGTGGACAAACTCTCTCCACTGAGTTGTGGTTTCTGGCCTCCCTGTGTGACCAAGAACAGATAAACCGACTGTGGTCAGGGAAAGCTGACTCAAAGCAGAGGCAGCACCTGATGCGCTTCTGTCAAGGTCACAGAACACAAGGAAAGTTTGGAGGAGCACTAGGGTCTCGTGTGGCTGGGGTCCTGGTTGGGCACCTGAAGTGACACCTGAGGCCACCCAGAGAAGCAGAGCAGCAGGCTGAGAGGCACAGGTCTGTTACCCGGCACTCTGTAGGTGAGGCCAGAGACTGCAGCCCAAGGTCGTCCTTGCTCACACCTGGGCTCCAGGAGACCTTATCCACCAGATGGGAACTGGGGAGACAGCTCAGTGGGTAAAGTGCTTGCACCCACATAAAAGCCAGCTCTGACAATGAGGATCTTTGATGCAGCCTGGTAGCTAGCTGGAATTGGTGAGCTTGGGCTTCAGGGCGAGACCTCAGAGAACAGTCATGGTAGATACCTGGTATTGCCACAGCCAGCAAATTCATTGGAAGGGCCAGACAGCAAGAGCTTGCAGTGGGTTGTCTAGTTCAGTGGTAGAGCACTTGCCTAGCATTGGAAAGTCCTGGGTTCAAGTCTCAGTCTGGAAAAAAGAAATGTTTTGGCCAGTTATATTGGCTCCATAGCGACTTTTCAGCTCAGGTGTAGTGATAGGCAGGGCAGGAGGGGCTTTGAGGATGGGGGAAGCCTGTATGTGCACATGTGTGCATTTAGTTTAATAATTAATTTGTTTTGAGACAGGGTTTCTCTGTGTAGCCCTGACTCTCCTAGAACTCACTGTAGACCAGGCTGACCTCGAACTCACAGAAATCCACCTGCCTCTGTCCCCTGAGTGCTGGGATTAAAGGTGTTTATCACCACCGCCTGACTTTATTTATTTATTTTTATGTGTTCAGGTGTTTGCCTGCATGTATGTCTGTGTACCCTGTGTATGCAGTGCCCCTGGAGGCCAGAAGAGGGTGTTTAGTCCTCTGAAACTGGAGTCCCAGCTGGTTGTGAGCTGATGTGTGGGTGTCAGGAACTGACCCTGGGTCCTCTGGGAAGAGTAGCCAGCGCACTAGCCACTGAGTCCTCCCTCCAGTCCCTTGTTTTCCTTCTGACAAGGTCTCATGGAGGCCAGGCTGCTCTCCAGTTCTTGGTGGCCAAGGATGACCTTGAACTCCTGCCTCTACCTCCCCTGCTGAGATGATAGGTTGTAGAAAGCGCTCCACTTTCCTGGTTGGCTACTGTGGAGGGTGCAGAGCCCGTCCTCATGTTTCTGCTGCTGTTGTTGTCTGTCTGGTAGACAGGCTGGCCTGGAATCTGCAGAAGCCCAGGTTGTCTTGAAATTGTGGTCCTCCAGCCTTGCCCTCCTAAGTGCTGGAATGACAGGCCTGTGCCTCCATACCCTGCTCCTTTGGTGGTTTCCCAGGAGCCGTCCACAGATTTCACACCGGCTTGCCACGGGGCTTCTGAAGCCACCTGGATCGGCTTGGGGACTGATAGCCAGAACCTCTGCCTAGGATGCTTATCCTTGGGGTGCGTGGATCCTCCGAAGCCCTGAGGGTCCCTCCTGAAACCATCTGCTGCCCTCTTCTTTGTGGGCAGATTTCACACTTCGGCCAGACTGTCTTGCTCCAGTGTGTGTGTCTCTTTCTGTCCGGGCTGACAATGGAGCTCAGGGCCTCAAGTCTAAGCCAGCCCTCCCTCCCCAGTCCACATCTCTTCGCCTCTGTGTATTTTGTTTCGTTTTTGGAGACTGTCTCTTGCCATGTAGCCCAGGCTGGCCTCCAGCTCCCCACAGTTCTGCCTGGGATGACAGGTGTATATCTCCATGCCTGGCCTATTTAGTTACTTATTTAATCTTCTATTCATTTTATGTACATCCGTGTTTGGCCTGCATGTATGTCTGTGTGAGGGCGTCAGAAGCCCTGCAACTGGAGTTGCAATCAGGTGTGAGCTGCCATTTGGGTGCTGGGCCTTGAGCCTGAGTCCTCTGCAAGAGCAGCCAGTGCTCCTGACTCCTGAGCCTTCTCTCCAGCCTCGCCTGGCCTATTTGTCTTCCATCCACGTATACTGGGAAAATGTTGTTTATTGTATTTCCTTAAAATTCTCTTCATAGTTGGGTGTGGTGGTGCCCACCTTTAACCCCAGAACTCAGAAGGCAGAGGCCAGTGGATCAACATGAGTTCTAAGGCAGCCTGGTCTATGTAGCAAATTCATGGCTAACCAAGTTTTGTTTTGTTTTGTGTTTTTCAAGACGGGGGTTTCCTGGGTGTCCTGGAACTTTCTCTATAGTGCAGGCTGGCCTCAGACTCAGCAGTGAGACTCTTTACAAATAAGTAATATACTCATTCCATCTCCTCACTGCCATGTGAGCTCTCAGGAAGCTGAGCTGCATAAGGTTTGTCTAAAGAACCCCCCCCCCTTTTTTAAAGTTTTTTGAGACAGCCCTAGCTGCCCTGGAACGAGTTGCAGAGATCCGCCTGCCTCTGCCTCCTGGGTGCTGGGATTAAAGGCGTGCGCCACCACCGCCTGGCTCTTGTTTGTTTTTTTAAGATAGGGTATAGACCAGGCTGGCCTGGACCCAGACCCACAGAGCTCCACCTGCCTCTGCCCCCCCCCCCCCCCCCCCGATTACAGCCACGGCCACCTTACCTAACCCGTACCTGGCTTTTTACACGTGTGATGGGATTTGAACTCACAACCTCTTTTCCCATGGAGCACTCTCCCCAGACCCAGCTGTGGGCTTTTCTGTCCATGTGGCTGTGGGATTGGAGCCTTGGCTCCCTGTGCACATCTGTAGTTCCTGGTGCTCCTGGTGCAGGAAGTCTTGGTTCACATTGAGCTGGTCCCTTTAGTGAGGCTCCTGGCCTTGCGTTGGCTGTGGTGCTACAGGCTATCCCAGCAATGAAGCTGAGGGGGAGAATCTTGAGTTCAAGGCTAGCCCAGGCTTTGTGGTAAGACCCCGTCAGAAACAAACAAAAAACAACAGCAAAAGATCTATTTTAATGGTGTGTGTATGTATATGCATGCATGTGTCCATGTGAACTTGTGTGTGTGTTTGTATGTGTGTCAGCCTGCGGAGTCCAGTTATTGGATCCCTGAAGCTGGCAGTGAGTGTCCAGCGTGGGTACTGGGAGCTAAACTTGGGCTTCATGCAGGAGTACCTTGTGGTCTTAACCCATTAAGCCATCTCTCAGGTCCCCAATTCACCATATTAATTGCACCTAGGCATGGCTCCCCAGATGGCCCCCTGACAAGGCATGCAGCAGCACTGCTGTGATTGCACCTAGGCATGGCTCCCCAGCACTAGCTCCTGTGTCCTCCCTGTCCTCAGTTCCCTTCACTTCCCGCTCGGCTTGTGTGGTGTAGCCCTGTTTGTGTTCATGGCTGTAGAAGGAACATGCTGTATGTGGTCACACTTGATGCGTGATGGGCTGTCCTGCCTTTGGCTGGGAACATGTGTCTGTTCCTGTCCCCTGCGGAGAACTAAAGAGGCCATAGTGGACAAACAACGAGTCCAGGGAAAAGGCTGGGATGTCTGCAGGAGAACGAAGGCGGGGACAAGGAGAGTTCCCAGGGCCTCCCCTGGCATGGGTTGCCCCATTGCTGAGTCAGAGGGCCAGGTGTGAGCATTCGTGTCAGGTGGCTATGGCTATGCCAGTGCAGCTGGGGGCCTGAGTTTCTGATTTTGGCTTTTGCGTGGTCGGTGGAGGCTTCCCCGCAGGGACAGAATACTTCCTAAAAAGAAAGAAGAGGCACAGGCAGAGAGGTTATTTCTGGCTTACTGCTGCGTGGGCCCGGGGCCGGGAGCTGCTGTGCTGTGCTGAGCAGTTAGGTTTCCCAGCCTCCACCAGCACCAGGATGAGGTCAGGAGCTGGGAGGCTGCAGGGCTGAGACGGAGATCCCAGAGCCAAGACCCTGGTCTGAGCAGCTGCACTCTCAAGGCCCCCAGGTGGGTCTTTTCTGGCTGTCCCAACCCCCGGCTCCAGCCTTTGCCTCAGCTTTTTGTCAGCCATCTCCACTGTGACTTTGCAGTGATGGACATGAAGTATAGGTATGCACATGCAAGATAGGTGCTGCATTGAGACCCACTGGGGGAGTCTAGGCGTGGCTCGACCCTGGCCACGCCCCCAGCCACTCACTCAGGGATCCTGGATAGGAACTCTGCTCTGAGCTATTATCCTTGCCTGTTTTTATTTTCCAAGACAAGGGCTTATTGAGTTGCCCAGGTTGCCCTGACCTCCTGCCATGACAAGGCAGGTCCAGCCAGCTGTCAGCTCTTTGTCTGAATGTCTGTAAGTCTGAAGGCGCCTGTCGCCTTCTCTTTGGTTAGTTTTAGTTAATTCCATTTGGGAGTGCCAATTTCCAAGAGGCTCTGGGTGTACTTGGTTGCTACCTGGGGACTGGTGGTGCCTGGTCTGATCCGAGTTTGCAGTGACAGTCAGCAGTGGCCAGACTGGGCAGGAGGAAGCTTCGTTATTGTAGGGCCAGTGAGGTGGAGAGGGGCCTCCGTAGTGGGTGCACCCCAAAGGCACAGTGGGCCTACAGTTCCATGGAAGGCTGTAGGTCTCTTGTCCCCAGCTTCAGCAGTGATTCTGTTGTGACTGCTAGCTCTGTCCCGCTCATGGTGCATGGACCCATCTACATGTCCAGAGGTGTCCAGCTGGAGAGGCTGTCTGCTCAGAGCCACCCTGTCACTGTGAGCACAGAACAGAGCAGGGCGCTGGACCGGCTCCCTGGTCATTGTTTCCACCCAGAGCATGAGCTGTGTTACGAGCCGAGTTGCTGTGGGTCTTGAGCCTGGCCATCGTGCCCTCTGTCCTGCCCTGACCCACCCACCCTCCAGCTGTTACATGACCCCTTTGGTTCCCTTGCCCCTGCCCTTCCCCAAGCCCTAACACCCTTTCCAAGCCTGTGCTCCCTGCCGGAGGCTGTCCAGCCCCTGTATCTAGTCTGCTTTCTTTTGTGAGGCTCAGGTCCCCTTGCCTGTTTCTACGGCCTGGAGGCTCGAGGGAGGGGAGCTGAGGGAATGGGGATGAGGAAGGGCCAAGTGCAGGAGTGAGTGAGGGGGTGTGTGGGCAGGGGTGAGTAGAAAGGAGTGTGGTACTGCCCCATGCTGGCCCCTGCTGCTGCCTCCTTCCTGTTTCTTCTAGAAGGATCTGAGGCCCGGAAAGGCCTCTGCTAGGATTGCCAGGAGTCTCTGCAGGTGTGACAGGGGACTCTGACTCGCCTGGGCCAGCAAGACTAACGGACAGTCGCCCTCTCTTCTGGCTCAGGTTTGTGCTAGCTGTTGGCAGCGCTGTCTTTGACGCTATGTTCAATGGCGGGATGGCTACCACATCCACCGAGATTGAGTTGCCCGATGTGGAGCCCGCTGCGTTCCTGGCACTGCTCAAGTAAGCTCCAGATTCTTCCGACCACAGGGTTAGAGTGTGGGATAGAGTGAGAAGACGAGAGATCCCTCTGCATCTGCTACAGAGCCTGCCCTCCAGTAACACATGCCCAGAGAAGAGGTTTGGGGTACTGGAGAGATGACTCAGCACCTCCAGAACCCCAGCCAGGTGGTCGCTAAGTGCAGGGGTCTGATATTCTTCAGGGCCACACACACAGGCATACATAAACTCATGCCATCTTCAAGAATAGGCAGCGCACTATGTGCCATGCCTGGCCTGCGGTGCTGGGGTGGAGCCCATGGCCTCTTGTCTGCTGAGTGGGCACTTATACTGTCCCAGACAGTGCCTGAGGTCAGCGTGGTTTTCTGTGATTTACCTATGGTTGCATAAGCTTGGCCACAGGGTCTCAGGAGCACGCCTGCAGTGGCCTGTGTGACTCGCTGAGATCAGGAGATTGACAGATGTCAGTTCTAGAAGGTGGCTGAGCAGCCCCTTGCAAATGTGCAGTGCTTGGCAGGTCTGGTGGCCGTATTCTCACAGCCCACTTCTGCTCAGGTTCCTGTATTCAGATGAGGTACAGATTGGGCCTGAGACGGTGATGACCACGCTGTACACCGCCAAGAAATATGCAGTGCCTGCGCTCGAGGCGCACTGTGTTGAGTTCCTGAAGAAGCACCTGCGGGCTGACAATGCCTTCATGCTGCTCACGCAGGTGAGTGTGCCCATGTGGTATTTGGTGATGCCTGGGGTTCTGCGTGTGGTGCATGTGACTACGAGGCTGGCACCAGCTCACCTCAGCCACTGTCCGCTTTCTGTTTGTATTTTGGGGAGGCTGCCCTGAATTAACAGAGATCCTTCTGCCTTTGCCTCCCCAGTGCTGGGATTAAAGGTGTGCACCGCCACTGCCTGGCTTTTTGTTTGCTTTATTTCTTTCTCCTCTGAGACAATCTGGCTCAGCAGGCAGGCTGCTCTGCCTTCCTGACCCCTCTGTCTCAGCCCGAGGCCCGGGGTGACAGGTGTGTGCCACCACACCCGGCTCCTCCACTTTAGGTTTTATTTTGTTCATTCATAAGGGAGATGTGCAGTGTGTGGGTGTGGCCTGCCTGGTGGGCACTGACCTCCTCGCTCTCTCTAGGCTCGGCTCTTCGATGAGCCACAGCTGGCCAGCCTGTGCCTGGAGAGCATAGACAAGAACACAGCCGATGCCATCGCCGCCGAGGGCTTCACAGACATTGATCTGGGTTAGTCAGGCCCACGGGTCTTAGATCCAAGTATTGTTCTGGGCTTGGGTCAAGTTGGAGATCCTGATTTGAAGATGACAGGACACCCCACCTCCTGGGTGACACGATGGGCCTGGTAGCAGGACCTGTTCTGGGGTCGGTGTTACCCCTGCTGAGGGAGGCCACCTGGCCCTCTCCACGGGTGTCTGCAATGCAGTGGAAGGGCCCTGTGGGGTCAAAGCCACAGGAACCAATCACAGGGTGTAGGGATGCACTCCTATGATCTCAGCTCTTGGGAGGCTGAGGCAGAAAGATTGCTGTGAGTTCTAGACCTGCCTAGGCTGTAGAATGAGACCCTGTTTCAAAAAGAAAGAGGGCTAAGACTCAGCTAAGTTGGTAAACTGCTTCCCTATTACTTGCTAGCCCATCACCCCAGCACTCAAGAAGTAGAGACAGGAGGGCAAGGGTGTAAGGCCGGTCTTGGTTACATGGTGATTTCAAGGCTGGGCTCAACTACTGTGTATTGAAGAGAGGGAGGGAGAAAGGCAGTGCTTAGGGAGGGAGCGCTGTTTGTCAAAAACACTCTATTGATAAACATGGACAGAGGGCTACAGTCGCCAAGCTCTGGCTGTGAGGTGGTTCTTACATGGTCTGGTCTGCATGTGGCCCCTTACAGGCACAGGGGTTCACAAGCCTTTCTCTGCCACAGACACCCTGGTGGCAGTGCTAGAGCGTGACACCCTGGGCATCCGTGAGGTGAGGCTATTCAATGCTGTAGTGCGCTGGTCTGAAGCCGAGTGTCACCGGCAGCAGCTTCAGGTGACACCTGAGAACAAGAGGAAGGTTCTGGGCAAGGCCCTGGGTCTCATCCGATTTCCCCTGATGACCATTGAGGAGTTTGCCGCAGGTAACAGGCTTGCACGGCCGCTTCTAAGCCACCCTCCATGCCATCAGGCTGTGACTTGGGGACCCTGCCTGGGACCCTGGGGTTTCCACGTCTTGGGGTCGTGTCCTATCAACCACTTGGGATTCAGCTTTGGGCTGGGCTCAGGTGGTCAGTCGGTCACCTGGCATGCAGAGCCTGTAGTGGCTTCTAGAGAGGGACCCTCAGAGGTGGGGTCTGCCAGCCCAGCTTGTCCGGCAGAAGGACAATGAAGGGGGTTCCAGGAAGGAGGAACTCCTTAACTTGGTTGGGCCCTGAGAATCAGATGTCCCAGCTTGAGGGGCAGGCCCTGAGTCTGCCGTCCCTCCGTGTGGTCAGCCAGCCCTCTGCCCGCAGGCCCGGCACAGTCTGGCATCCTGGTAGACCGCGAGGTGGTCAGCCTCTTCCTGCACTTCACTGTGAACCCCAAGCCGCGAGTGGAGTTCATCGACAGGCCCCGGTGCTGCCTGCGGGGCAAGGAGTGCAGCATCAACCGGTTCCAGCAGGTGGAGAGCCGCTGGGGCTACAGCGGCACCAGTGACAGAATCAGGTGGGGCCTTGGGACCCCAGGTGGGGAGGTGACGGAAAGGAAGGGGCAGCAGGAGCTGGGCATGGTCCTGAATGGGCCGTGTGCCCTTCCCATAGCTCTGGGCTGCCCAACTCCTCCATGGCTGCTCCAGTTGCTCCACTCATGGGCCCAGGGCGTTAAGCCATCTGCCACCCACTTCCTTCTGCAGGTTCTCTGTCAACAAGCGCATCTTTGTGGTGGGCTTTGGGCTCTATGGATCCATCCACGGACCCACTGATTATCAAGTCAACATCCAGGTGAGCTGCCTGCCTTCCAGCCATGCCCACAGCTGGCCCTGTGCCCCCCAACAGCCACTTCACTCTATCTCTTCAGACCCCCTCTCAAGGAGGGTCTCCTCTCCTTGAGACCCTCATCAATGCCCGTCCCTCCCGTCCCTGTGTCCCTGCGTCCCTGTGCGCTGAGCAGCTGAGCAGCCTTCCTTCCCCAGATCATCCACACAGACAGCAACACGGTCCTCGGACAGAATGACACTGGTTTCAGCTGCGACGGCTCCGCCAGTACCTTCCGTGTTATGTTCAAGGAGCCCGTGGAGGTCCTGCCCAGTGTGAACTATACCGCCTGCGCCACACTCAAGGTGGGCACACTGTCCCCGCAGGTTGTGGGTACCCTTGTTATCCCCTCCAGTCTTGAGGACTTCATGACCTCACTGTGCCTCCCTCTCCCTGCCAGGGCCCAGACTCTCACTATGGCACCAAAGGCCTACGCAAGGTGACCCACGAGTCAGCCACCACGGGGGCTAAGACCTGCTTCACCTTCTGCTATGCGGCCGGGAACAACAATGGCACTTCCGTGGAGGATGGGCAGATTCCCGAGGTCATCTTCTACACCTAGGCCATCCTCCACCCAGATCGCCCTCGGCCGTCTGCGGGCCAGCCTCCCTCTCCACCACTTCCCTCGTCATCACGGAAGGGGCTGCCTTGTGTCCACAGGGGCAAGTGTGACCACCTGTCCAAGGCACTGGGGAGGTGGTCGGGCCATGGGCTGGGCCGTGTCAGGACAATCCCTCAGTCTTGGGGGCAGAGTGGGCTTGGCCTGGATGGACAGCTGTTGGGGTCAAGGGCGGTGGTTTGGGAGTCGGGGTTTCCCACTCTGGTTCCTGCAGCTCAGGGCAGCCGGCCAGCTCCGTGCCCAGGACACTGCAGCCATTCGTCCGTTCTCTTAAACTGCACACTGCAATGCATTCAAGCCCACACTCAGCTGGAGCCTGCGCTTGGGCCTGTCTTCCAGCCGATGGTTTGGGTTTCATGTTCCTTCTGTTCTCCGCTGCTCCCTGGGGACTCCAGGGCCTGACCTGTGAGCACTGGGGCCACCTGAAGCTCTGGCCTCCTGGACATGGGCAAGTGCAGGGCACTGGTCAGTCCTGAGAAGCCTCGGGCGGGGCTGCTGGGCCTTGCTGGGAGGTCTACCCCAGTGTGGGTGACATGTGGGCCACTGTTCCTGCCCCTCCCAGCAGTGACGTGCAGCCCCTCTGGACCAGCTCCTCCCCGGTGTGGCCGAGAGGGCTGGAGTAGCAGTTGAGCCCCATCAAGACACACTGGGCCTCCAGCTGGCTGCTGTGGCCTCCAGGGTACAGAACAGCCCTGTGCAAACCATAGCCCTGGCCCTCTAAGGCCACCAGGCACCCTGCCCAATGATGCCCTAGGAGACACAGTCCCCTATCTGGGGTCCCCCTCCTTCATGTCTCTGTACCTGTGACCTCCTACCCAGATCCCATGTCCTCCCCAAAGCCATGGGAGGTGAGCCCTCCACACTGTGTCCCCAAATGATTTTTTTTAAATAAAGGAGAGAAACATGCGCCTTGAGCCACTGAGTACCACATTGCCTGCTGTGCGGCTGGGCTGGGCGCCTTGGCCACATGTGGCTCCCTCCCTAAGAGCACCTTCACAGTGTGCCCACAGAGTGGAGGCAGGCAGCCAGAGCCAAGACCTGGGAAGGGAACTGAAGCTGGAGGTCCAGGGTCCTGGGCTAGCCTGGGATACATGACAGTGCTTCAAAACTGAAGAGATGGCTCCGTGGTAAAGGGCACCTGCTGTGCTTGCAGGGGACCTGCGGTCCCAGCACCTGTGCTGCCAGGTCCGCCGCCTCCACTGCTCCTGCGACACAGTGACTTCAGATGCCGGGAGGTGAGGGTGAACACTGATCCCAGCACTCAGGAGGCAGAGGCAGGTGGATCCCTGCGTTCAAGACCAGCCTGGTCTACACAGGAATTCTAGGACAGCCAGGGCTACACAGAGAAATCATGCCTTCCAAAACAAAAACAAAACAAGAAAAACACAAACAACCAGAAAACAAAAACCAAACGAGTGAGAGCCGTGTGACCCAGTGCAGCAGAGAGGCTGAGGCAGAGACTCTAGCACCGCAGCGCAGCGCAGCAGCAAGGTCGCCCACCAAGCCCGACCCCAGCTGGAAGGGAAGAATAGACGGCAGGAAGGTCCCGGACCCAAGGGGATTGGGACACAGTACCCCCGCAGTCACACAGGGCAAAGGCCCACAGAAGAAATGGCTAAAATACATGGAGTCTGCTTTTCCTTTTCTGTTGCTAGGACAAAGTGACCGAGGGCTGTGTGCGTTCCGAGAGGATTATTCACCTGTGTGCATGAGTATGGAGCTGCTATGGCATGTGAGGTTGTCTCTCTCCTCTCCCGACTGTGGGCAGTACACTAGCTGACCTGCAAGCTTTAGACCAGTCAATGTCTTCGTCTCCCCGTGGGCGTCCTGAGACGCTCTCTGCAGCATCTGGACTTCTGAAGTCAAATGCTTGGTCTTGACCGGTGGCTTAAGGTTTCTGTTGCTGGATTAACACCATGACCGCTACAGCTTGGGGAGAACACTGAGGGAAGTCAGGGCAGGAACCAGGCAGGGGCTGATGCAGGGACTGTGGCAGACCCTGCAAGTTCAAGGCTTGCTGAGTCTGGAGCATGGGCCTGGCCAGGATGACACCGCCCACAGTGGGCTGGGCCTGAACTTGTCAATCCATTTGCCCAGAGGTCAATCTGGTGCAGACTTTTTCTCAGTTGAGATTTCCTCTTCCCAAGGAATGACTCTTAACTTGTGTCAAGCCATCATAACTAAGGATAGGAGACAAGCCATTTCCCCAGTCCCAGACTTAGCTCTACTCTGGAATCCCTCAGCTTCACTGTGGACACCATTGGGAACTCTCGGGAGAGTGGCAAGCTGTTAGGTGCACGGGAAGGCCTTAGGAACACTGCACCTAGGGAGCCGCACTTACAGACTACTGTGTCTCCTGAGACACAACCCAACTAAACCCGAGTCGCTTAACCTCTGAGCCATCTCTCCAGATTTACACAAGCAGTTTTTTTCAGGTTGTTATAAATTTATTGTTTTTGTTTTTAAAGACAGGGTTTCTCTGTATAGCCCTAGCTGTTCTGGAACTCACTCTGTAGACCAGACTGGTCTTGAACTCAGAGATCCGCCTGCTTCTGCCTCCTGAGTACTGGGGTTAAAGACGTGTACCACTATCGCCCAGCAATAAAATGTATTTTTACTTATTTTTTAAAAAAGATTTATTATGTATACAGTATTCTCAGTATTCTGTCTGCATGTATGCCTGCAGGCCAGAAGAGGGCATCAGATCTCTTTACAGATGGTTGTGAACCACCATGCGGTTGCTGGGAATTGAATTCAGGACCTTTGGAAGAGCAGGCAGTGCTCTTAACCACTGAGCCATCTCCCCAGCCCTAAAATGTATTTTTAAAAAAGATTTCTGCCAGGCGGTGGCAATACATGCCATTAATCACAGCACTGGGGAGGCAGAGGCAGGCAGATCTCTGTGAGTTCGAGGCCAGCCTGGTCTACAAGAGCTAGTTCTAGGACAGGCTCCAAAGCTACAGAGAAACCCTGTCTCAAAAAAGAAAAACAGGGCTGAAGAGATGGCTCAGAGGTGGAGAGATGGCTTATCAACCCAGACTTGGGAGCAGCAGTCTTCCTGCCCTACCCAGTCCCCACAGCCTCTTCCATCCTTCCCAGACCAGCTAGGGCCCAGTTTCTCCAGGACTCCAGTGAGCCAGCAGAGATCCTCTTGTCCCAAGACCTGAATGTCCTATATGGGTTACAAAGACCAGGCCCACACTTGGGGATGATTTCATTTTCTTTTTAATTTTTTTTTTTTTTTTAAAAAAAGCCCCTAAACTCTATGGCTTCAAGGAAGCGCCGGAGAAACATAAGTTCATTTCTGTACACGTTGTAAAGCAAGAACTCGGCTCCCGCGACCACAGCCTGGCTCTCCCATGGGGACCGCCTCTCTGCTGCCCCAGATCGGGCGTTAAGGCGATTCTGTCCCGTGGGCCCAGCACACAGAGACACAGGTCACAGCCGCCCTGGCTCCATGGGGCCCAGTCCAGTCCCTGCGTGGTGACCATCCCGTGCTCCACCCCAGCTTTGGTGCAGCATTGTGGTAGCACACGTGCCTCCCCTAGTGGCCAAGGCCTCATGGCCTCCCCATTTAACACCCATGCCCCGGGCCTGCCCCACTCGAGAAAACGGCCTTTGGATCGAGGGGACAAGCTGGACTTTATGAGCTAATGGGGGCGCAGCGGGGACGGCGCGACGCTTCTCTCCTGGTTTTAAATAGTTAATGCTCTCGAAGGGGATGAGACATGGGCGTAGAGATTTCCGCCAAAGTCCTGTGTGAAGGAAGTGACCCCAAATCCCCGAAGATGGTGCCTGCAGTTGGGCCAAAGAGCCCCATGCCACCAAGGACACTGCCAGCCTACTGGACACCGCCTGGGGAACTCGGCAGCGGCTGCACCCACCCTCACTTGTGTCTCTGCAGGGATTTTCTCTTTCTCCTCTTGAAGAAGCAGCAACACCTGGGGGTGACACGGGTTAAAAGGACAAAGTGGGGATTGATATGGGGTGGGGGAAACTGGAGAAAAGTGACGTTAGGAGTAGAAGCGTCACGTGATGGAGTAGAAGGTGATTGGGCAGTGACAGAGCCTTACTTGGTTTCATCCGCCACCTCTACTTCTGCAGGGGCCGCGATGGGGGCGTTGGAGTGGCCCGCGGTGGGGTCATCCGCGTTCAGCTCACCGTTAGTGGAGTTCAGTGCCTGAAAGGGCAGTGGGTACCAGGCTAGCACCCCTGCTCACCCTGCGTCACTGGCCTCCATCCCCTCCAGGACAAGCCCCCGGCCGGCCCTCACCTGGTTCTTGTTGTGGGGCTGGGCTTTGTCGCGATGAGGTGGCTGGGAGGGCACGTCAGTGTGGACGGTGCCGATTGGTGTCGGCTGCGAGAGCAGATGTCAGGACGGGATGAAGCCGCAGGCTCCGCTGCAGCCCCAGGACAGTTCCTGACCCGAGACCTCTGGAGGGCAGCCCCTCCGACCGAAGCTCCCGCCCACGGCCCCCCGTGCACCGCAGGGATAGGGGCTCCCGATCTGGTGTCCCCCCGCACCTGCAGACCCACACCCGCACGTGAATTTCTAACTGGAGGGTTTCTCATCACCTCCACGTACCAGGGGCTTCCCGGCCCAGTCATACTCGTAGTCGAACACGTAGCCGCTGCGGTCGAAGAGGTCGGTGAAGAGCTTCCTCAGGTAGTCGTAGTCTGGCTTCTCGAAGAAGTCCAGGCGCCGTACATAGCGCAAATAGGTGGCCATCTCCTCTGCAAAAGGACAAGGGCCAGGGGCATGGTCACATGGGCAGCCTAGTCTGCCATGTGGCCGTCGCCAAGGGGCATTGCCGCGGGCTCCTCACCAGGGAAGCTCTCACACAGCGCCTCAATGGGCGTGGCGCGCTTGGTGTCACCAATCTTCTGGTAGCGCTCCTTCAGCGTGTCAGCCTGCGTGAGGACGTGAGCTTGGTCAGGGTCAGCGCCCATTCCCGCGCCCCTCCCCCACCGGGAGTCCCCGCCCACCTTGAGTCCCTGCCAGGGCAGGCTCCCGCGTAGGAAGTACATGAACATGTGTCCCAGCGCCTCCAGGTCATCCCTGCGGCTCTGCTCTGCGGGGACAGCACAGGCTCAGCGCCGCCCTGGGCCCCAACCCCATCCCCCCACCGCAGCGCGGCTCACCCTTGCCCAGGTGCGTGTTGATGCTCATGTAGCGCGCCGTGCCCGTCAGGCTCTTGTGCTCGCGGTACGGGATGTGCTTCTTGGTCTCAGGGTCGATGTACTCCTTGGCCAGCCCGAAGTCGATGATGTGGATGGCGTGTTGCCGTTTGCTGCCGGGTCGCCCGACCAGGAAGTTCTCTGGCTTCACGTCGCGGTAGATGAGGCTCTTGGTATGGACGTACTCCATGCGTGTGATCTGCGGGGACCTGGGTTCAGCGCCCAGGCCCTGCCCAGTCTATCCGCCCCGCCCCGCCAGCCCCACCTCTCCGCACCAGCTGGATGGCAATCATCAGCACCGTCTTCAGTGTGAAGGTGCGGTCGCACAGGTCGAACAGGTCCTCCAGGCTGGGCCCCAGCAGCTCCAGCACCATGGCATTGTACTTCCCGCACGGGCCAAAATAGTAGACCTGAGGGACGCCCTCTGCGGAGGAAACACGCACGCGTGCTGGACACCTGGAGCCCCTGCTTGGGCCACACCCTGTTCCTGTCCCAGCGAGTGCCCATCCCCCATGCCTCACCTGCCGTGCTAAGCTGCTTGTAGAAGCGGTACTCCAGGTGCAGCTGTGGGGCCCGGGACTTGATGGGCTCCTGCAGGACAGGGGACTGTTACCCAGGCCCTTCTTCTGGCCAGGGGTGCTCAGCTGGGCAGAGCAGGGCAGGGCAGGGTACACTCACCAGCTTGATGGCCACGTACTCGTTTGTATACAGGTTCTTTCCTGGGGGAGGGGCAACAGAGAAAGCATGAGGATTGTGGGTAAGGAGCCCACCCCGCCCAGCCCACAGCGTACTCCACAGCTTTCCAGGAATCCCTGCACTGCACCTCACTACTTGTATGCAGTCATGGGGAGAGGACTACCTTAGGCCCCAGCAAGTCATGAAAGAACCCCTCCTCACATTGGAGTCAGCCCCAGAAACCACCCATACTACCAATATGGCTGGCTGAGTGGAGGTGGCGCTTGGTCCCCATGCTGCTGACCCCACCTTGGTGAATCCAGCAGTAGGACTTGCTCCACACTCTGCCTCTCCTGCAGGGGTCACATCTGCCATACCTGGGCAGACCTTATCCCAGTCTCCCAACATCCATGTTTACCTCAGCATCACTAGTCACAAAGGCCACCTCCAGGGTCACACCCCAGGGGCTGTACCTGCCACCCCTGAAGGGAAAAGATGTTCCTACCACAGCGGCTCTGCACAAGGAACAGGCAGAGCCACTCGGGAGGTCCCATGGCCAGGCTGTGCCCACAACTGCCTCTTCCCAGCCACAGCCAGCCACCAGCTATGGCACAGCCCTCTGCCCTGGTTCTCCTGGACGTCTCCGTCACCCACCAGCCACCAAGTGCTTGCCATCAGGGCCCCTCTAGTGACAGCCTGCCACCTCCTGTGACCCACCAGAGCGCCCCAGGCTGAGTAAGGTGCAGCGCCATCAAGTTTCTTCCAAGAGGAGGCTCAGTGAGGGTCCATGTCTCCATAGGTCTGGCCCCCACCCCTCCACCTCACAATGGCTGTCTCTCGCATGGACAGCGAGGTCAGCTGTCACCTTGGGAGGCCCAGACGGCCTCTGCGGAGCTCTGGCTCTCACAGGACGGGCAGTTGGGCAATGCCCGTCCACAAGCAGGTGTAACTTTAGGCACCTCAGGGTCACTTTTCCTCTGTGGCATTTCCCTTGTCTCCACTGAGCAGCCAGCAGAGGGCTATGAGAGACCCAGTGTGGGCGCTTGGCGGCATGCTGACCAGCTCAAGCTCCCATAACCACAGCGCGGGGGAGGAGAGAGACGGGACTCCCCAGTTGTCCTCTGACCCACAGGGTCCAGCATGTCTGCTCCCAACATATATACCCATTAAGACTTTTCCTTAAACATGGGCGGGGCCGTGGAGATGGCTCAGCAGGAAAACCTGCTCTTCCAGAGGACGGGGTCCAGGGCCCAGCACCCACAAGGGGGCTCACAATAGTCCCTAACTTTAATTCTAGAGGGTCCAGTGCCCTCTTCCAGCTTCCCTAGGTATGCATACAAAACACCCATACAGGGGGCTGGAGAGATGGCTCAGAGGTTAAGAGCATTGCCTGTTCTTCCAAAGGTCCTGAGTTCAATTCCCAGCAACCACATGGTGGCTCACAACCATCTCATAATGGGGTCTGGTGCCCTCTTCTGGGTGTACACACAGACAGACTATTGTATGCGTAATAAATAAATATTAAAAAATAATAATAAAAAACACCCATACACATAAAATAAGAATTTTGAAAAAACTTTTTTAAAAACAAAACATTGGGGTGGGGGGGGGGCTGGGGCTGGGCATGGCAGTACACACTTAATCCCAGCACTGGAAAAGCAGAGGCAGGTGGGTACCTGTGAATTCTGGCTAGCTTGGTCTACACAGTGAGCTCCGGGTCAGTGGGACCCTGTCTAAAAAGAAAAAGGAGGACAGGGGACAGGACTATGGCCCCATAAGAGGAATAAAGTTGCGCAGACATAGGGCTTCAAGTTTCCCATTTAATGAACAGTTATCTCTACAGATCCAAGGGGCTCAGTGGTCCCAGCCCAGACAGACCGACCTGAATAAGGGCCAGGAGAGCTTCACACTTGAAAAGGATGAGGGCTCAGGCGAGAGGCCGAGAGGCACCCCATACTCACCAGGGAAATGAACACCCTTGCAGCTTGTTCTAAGCTGTGGGGCATGGGGAGGGGAGCCAAGCTCTCGCCGTGCTGCCCAGGCTGACCTCCCTCAGTATTCTGAGTGACGTAAAGTTAGTTTAGAGCTGGGGAGAGGGAAGGCATGGGCTCACACTAAGCACACATCACCACTGCACCCTAACCTGCCGCACAGAACACACAGCAACTCTGAGTAGCCGGCAGTGAGGGCTGACCCTGACTCCAACAGAGGTCGAGGTGCACAAGCCGGTGCAGTCAGCCCAGAGAGCACCAAGCACAAACCCCACAGACAGCCTCCTGCACAGGCTGCAGTGCAAACCCTTTGGGACTCACACTGCCCAAGCCCCTTACAGATCTGTACAGAGACCTGAGGTGGTGTGCGGCCACCCCAACTACCTGAGGTCAGGGGTTCCTTAAAGTGCTTGGCCATGTGCACCTGGCATGCATGTATTCATGTATTCATGCATGTGTTCAGGGCTGTGGTCTGGCATACCCATCACAGCAGAGAAGCTATTCTCAGCCAGGCCTGGGGGATACCTGCAGCTGCAGACTGCAGAGGCCCTGCACCCAGATGGGGTCCTAGCTGGCCTTGAGCAGGCCAGTGAGTGTAACACCCAGCAATGCCCTCCCATGGGAGAGGAAGAGACACCTGAGCACAGGGCAGCTGTGCCCTCCATATCAGCTCTCTACGGTCAGTCCCCTCGCTGACTGGATGGCACGTGTCATCTGATCAGTGGTCAGGAGTGGACAATGACAGCTCTAATAAGGCGGCTGTCATCCACTGTGTTCTGGGCTCCTAGCTATCTGCCTTTGCAGAAATCTGCTCCCCAGGCATGGCTTCCGGGTGACATCTGGGGACCTGAAGCTGATGGGGCTTCGCAAGAGGTTGGTGTCCCTTTTTTATCTTAAGGAGCTGGACTGGGATGAGCGTCTGCACACAGGTCTTCTCTAACCTACACAGGGCCAGGATGTGACAGTTCTAGGGACCTTTAGAATCCTGGGCACTGCTGCGAACGGGAGCTAGTCGCCTCAGAGGGAGGCACAGGGGCTCAGCACCAGGCCCTGCGGACCAGGCAGTCAGAGGCTGTACGGTGACAAGAGCCACAGCAACAGACAGTGGTCTCTGCAGCTCAGAAGCCAGAGGCAGGGAAGCGGTGACTCCACCTGCCACTTGGAGACAACCACCACAAAGCCAGCCTCGTGAGGACCACAGACAGTATATGTAGGACTTACCTAGGCGAAGCTCTCCGAAGTTCCCACAGCCTATCTTCTTGCCGACTCGGAAATTGGGGCCCACCATCAAGACCCCTGAGCTGGTCCCCGAGCTGCGGACGCCATGGTTGCTCCGGCTTGTGCCGGTCTTGGACATTCTCCGGCCCTCCTCCAACTCCCCCTTCCCTCCTTTCTTGTCAAAATCCATAAGTTTGTGGTACCCTGGCCTCTCCACGGTGACTCTGCCGTGAGATCCGAGTGCGAAACCTGAGCTCGCGCCCGGCCTAGTACACCATTGCGCCCGGTGGCCCCTTGGCTCCCGGCTATTGACACCCGGGTGTGCTCGAAGGCCTGGCTGCGGTGCTCATCTTGGTGGCCTCAGGGTCGCTTGCAGAGAGAGAAGACATTCTGCCAACAGGTCCCACCGCCTTAAATCTCGTGGTGCCCCACTGTGAAGAAACAGAGGCACAGGTTAGCGGACCGCAGCAAAGGCTACTGTGGTGTGACCAGGCAAAGGCTGGCAGAAGCTAGAGATTACGGTGGAGTAGCCATGTGTCCTACTTGCCACATGACTATGCCATCAAGTGGAAACCTAAAGCAAGAAAGGAAAGCCAGATCCAGGCTAAGAGGTGACCCACAGGCCTGAACACACCAAGGGCTGCCAAGACAGGGACAGTGGCAGGTGGCAGAGCAGGCGGCGTCCCTAAGAGGGCAGGGGATGGGACTCCAGGCATGCAGGCAGTCACGGCACACAGTGCTGGGTGAACAGGGAAGGCTTGGCAGGGCTCTAGGCAGTGGGTGCCACCCTTCTGCGCTGACCTGCACCTCTTAGGCCCAGAACTCGACTGGCCAGGAGCTCACTGGGTAGCCCAGGCTGCCCTCGATCTCAAGAGATCTGCCAGCCTGCTCTTTATGTGGGTGCAGTCACATCCAGACCTCCATACTCTCAAGGCAAACACTTCAGCAACGGAGCCATCTGCCCAAGCCTTGGGTTTGGTTTTGTTTGAGACTCTGAGAGATGAGTTTACAAGTGTGTTCTAATACAAACAGTCATGCAGGGGAATTGTCACCCACCAGGCCATGTGTAGCTATATGTGCCCTTGGGCACATCTGGAGGGGCTGCCAGCCTGCTTCCCTGCTCAGTGCTCCCAGTATCCCATCCCCACACTGGGGTCCCCTCCAGCACCATCTAGGCAGTGGTCATGTTTGCTTGCTGACTTCTATTTACACATCACTCTGCTGGGTCGTGGCTAGCAGCCAGCTCGCGGGGACAGTGAGGGCCAGAGGCCACAGTGGCCATCGCATCATCCCGAGCCTTCACTGACAGCACCTCCTCACTGCGGGGCATAAGGAAACCCTGGGCAGTAAGCCTGGCTGCCCAGGAGAAAAGTCTAACCTCCTTCATGGGTATGTAGCAGGGGCCTCTCCTAAAGATAAAAGGAACTCAAAGAAACCAGGGGTGGGGCTTGCTTCGACTCTATGTGGTGCCTCCAGCCCAGTGGGTCTCTACAATGTGAACAGCTATACCACAGGCTACCAAGGATCTGCACTCCACCGAGGACACCCACAAAGCCCAGCACTCTGGGGCAAGCATCCCCCTCGCCACGCCACTATGGACACCATGGGGAGGAGCTCCTGGGGGCTAGGCCGCTCCTCTTGCCCCTTCCTCACCAGGACACTGACTCACAAGAGCGGGGGAGGCAGCAAAAGGCCTGCTTGGGAGACTGCTCCATGGGGTGCCAGCACTGTGGGCCTCCAGGATGGTGAAGACTGTGGCTCAGGACCCATGTGCCACCAGGAGCAGGTGTGGAGGAGAGGCGGGCAGAGGCTGCACCTGGGCCAGCTGAGTCTGAGGAAGGCTACGCAGCAGAAAATGCATCTTCTTTTCAGTCTCACCCAGCTAGGGACACACCCGGGCAACTGTCACTCCGAATACTCCCTCCAGAGCCTCTGCGTCCACACACACGATCGCCATGACGCCCATGGCTACCTCAGTGAGGCTCAGCAGGCGGAGCACCTCCCTAGCATGCAGGAAGCCTTGAGCATCCTTAACACAGCATCCCAATGCGGAGATGCAAGCATCACGTCAGCATGCAGGAGCGGACAGGAGGGCCAGGAGCTCAAGGCCAGTCCTGACTACATGAGACCCTGCTCCCAGAACATTATCACAGGTCAGCAAGATGATGGCTCAGTGGGGAACTTGGTGACCCCCATCTCCTCCCTGGTGGAAGGAGACAATGGTCCTCCATCATACATTCCCCCTATAAATAAACACATGCTAAGTAAATACAGAGAGCTGTAAGAGCTGCACAGACACAGAGGCACTCTCGTGCTAGCACCCACCCCAGCATCCCTGCACCACGGGGTGGCAGCGTCCAAGGCTCTACCTGTCAGGGCTGATGTACTCAGAAGAGAAAGGATCATTTAGAAAGGGTCCAAACATCTCCAGGGAGCAGCCCTCCACTGAGAGAGCAGCCCCCCGGGGAGCCAGGTGAAGTCCCGCTATGGGGCCCAGCGGCATGGGAGAGCTGGATGAAGCAGCAGCATTGAGCAGGGGCTGTGAGTGACATCAGGAGATCTAGTGCATGGACACCTGGCTGTCCATGGACTAGCAATCAAGGACTGGTAAAGACACCGATGTTAGGGACGAGGTGCCCCACTCATGCATGTCCACATCACAAGGACATGGGGCACTCCAGATCACCAGAGGCAGCAGGGCCACTCCAAGGATTAGGAAGAAAGGTGCCCAGATGAGGCTGAGTCCCGTCAGGCCAGAGGGGCCACAGGAGTTAGCAGTGGCAGAGCACCACTTCTCCTGGGGAGACAGACACCCTAATGTGAGGGAGCGGGGCAGGGCGCTGTATCTTCCTTAGCATGGCTGGATGGCTGCAAACCTGTGACCTGAAGAGCTGCCTGTCGCAGGCACAGTAGCCTCAGCCTAGGACTCACCACATGATCGTGCCCCCTCATGAGGCACCTGACTCCGTTGCCCACCTATGGTGTGTGGTGACACCACGGACTGCCACAGCCAGCAGCACAGGCAGTGCACAGACCATCCTGGGGGCGTGGTCAACTAGGATATGCAGAGGGAGCAGACAGCTACAGGACTGGACAGGGGGGACAGCAAATGAGGGGTCAGAAGGACTCTGCACAGGACATCAGCATTGGTGAGCTCAAAGCAGGCAGGCTGGAAGAAGCAGGCCCCACAACACTATCGTGCCCTTGAACCACGGTGTTTATGGGTCAGTAAGTATGCTGCCCTATCCTGAGCGGACATGGCACCGCTCTGCCACTACTTCTCACAACAACTATGCAGACATGGGCTATGTGGCAGTCCGTGATGCCCAAGAGAGTAAGGACATCACCACAGACAGCTAACACTCCAACACAGAGGGTCAGTGAAACACTCAGGCATACCTGAGCATGTCAAGAGTGACCTGGGACCCCAGAGAAGAGGAAATGCCACTAGTCCTGGCTCTAGATGAAGTTTGTAGCTAAAAATAGACCTAGGAAGACAGGCAGGCTTTCCCAGCCCTAAATAAAGCCTCCCTGGGAGGACCCACAAGGCCCAAAGCCCAGGCTGTCCCCAGGGGTGAGCCCAGGCTCAGGGTTAATGCTGAACTGGCCTGGGCAAGACTAGGCTGGAAGTCAGCTACAGGGTGCTCACTCAGGGAGCTGGATGACAGCAGGTTGGATTTCCACCAGACACACCCCTCCTTGCATGGCCCCAGCACGCACCTGCCCTGTTCTTTTTGGGGTCCCCCATCTTGCTGGGACCCCGGCTGCTCCCTGCTGGAGGCCCCAAGCCCTTTCCCTACATCTCCACTCAGTGATGTCACAGTCCCTAGCTGACGTCACCGGCAGTTCCCAAGCTAGACCTGGTATCCAGCTGAGGGGACAAGCAGGGACAACATCCGTCATGGGAGTCCTGCAGTGGGTGGGGTCTGGCCGCAGTCCCAGAGCTATGCACCTGAGTGGCAACCCAGCATGGACTTCCTGTTTCTTGCAGACCCAGGCTATGACAAACCAGGATTCCCCAGCACTGAGTCCTGGAAAAAAGCTACTAGAGAAATTTGGGGTTCAAACCAAGAAAGGAAAGGAGCATCGCCTACAAGGTGTGGTGCTATCTGGCCAGTGGGGCTGCATATTAAGTTGGGATCTGATGATCGTAACAGATATATGTCTGCCCCATGAGGCTGATGGGAATGGGGAAGGGGCGACTCCTACATAGGACCAGCAATGGCCAGACTTGTCAGTACCTTGTCTTTAGAGAAAGGTACCCCAAATACCACCACAGCTCACCTGCTCCTGGTCATGCAGAGACCAGCTGGGGCTGAGTGTGGAGGGAGCCACTGTGGTGGCTCACCAACACCTGGGCTGACAGTCCTCAGAAAAGGGCTGAGGGTCTGGACCACAGCACTGGAAGACCATCTGGGGGGACCCATCAACAGACTTCATAAGAGATGGCCAACCCAGCCACCATATCCACCATGCTCACACTCAACTGGACACGTGCTGACACAGGATGGCACATGGAATCATCGGAAGCTGCAGCCCAGAACCAACTCGGGGTGCACACAGGCCTGACAGTCGGTATGCACTCAGTATGGGCGAAGAATGAACCACTGCCCTGCTCTCTGTGCCTGACACCCAGACATCTCTACAGCACAAATCACAGAAAGGAGCGACTGAAGGCGAGGATGGGCACGAGGGACACAGCCTCAGGGTTCAAGGGACCTCCTGACCCAGGTCTCAGTGAGGGTGACTCTGCTCTTAGGAAACCATGGGCCATGGGTGCTGCCCAGCACTCACAGACCGTCGAAAGCCACAAAGCTGGTGTCAGCCCATGTACCGCTGCGTACAGGTATGGACTGTGGTCTACAGCAGAGGCCCGCGTGCTTCTCACAACACCTGGATACTATGACAGGAAAAGATCGCATGGACCACCAGCTCCGGTGGGGCTCAGGTCAAGCCCATGCTACAAAGGACAACTCAGTCATAGGCTTCTGCCCAGCAGGAGATTCAGGGGTAAAGTGGGTCTGTCCCCTGGGAATTCTCCAAGTATCAGCAGGAACAGCCTTGGACCTGCAGTACTATAGTCTCAGGCATGAGTAGGGTGGACCAGCGTGCACATGTGTCTTCCTGTGCACTCTTACCCAAGCTGGCCCTCCTGCCTAAGTGTGGGGAGAACAGGCATGAGCCACCATGCTTTGTCTTGACATTTTAATAACAATCTAATAACAGTATCCTAGGGTGGGGGAGACGGGAGCCCAGAACTGGATTCTTACAGTTGATCACACACCTTAATCCTGAGAAGAGAGCTGTTCAGGCACAGTCAATGTGCAGAAGGCCTAGCACCAGGTGGGGCACAGGCTAGATGCACATAGCCACACATAGCCACCCACCCAGAGGGGTGTAGTCTGTCCTGGAGGCCCTGTCTAGGCCACGCCTCTTCTTAGGGGCCTTAGGGGCGTAGTTCAAGGGCAGCACGCAGACTTCCCAGCAGCCCAGAGGGGTGCGCCTCCACACAGGAAGCACAGGCCACAGACTTGGTGATTGGAAGAGAACAGGCCAGCGCCTGGGGTTGCAAGCCACCTGCAAGCTGGGTGGGACCCAGTCACTCCGATCCCAGTCCCCCTTTGCCTGGGGCAACTGTGGACTCTCGGGGGCTCCTGGTACAGCCAACCCTCTGGTCCTGATTCCCGCACCTGTCCCCACCTGTACACCTGAAGACCCTCACAGGCCAGGCCGACCTGAGCTAGGGTTTTCTTTAGCTGTCCCAGTGGTGCTCCAATCCTTCTCACTGTAACCCCGGATGTGCAAAATCCCAGGAGTCAGGGAGCTCAAGGCCGTCCTCAGCCACACAGGAGCCAGCCTAGGCTACCTACAGCAGGGCTCAACAACAGTTCTGTTGGGTGTTGTGCCACAAGCCTACGTCCCAGCATTCAGGAAACTGGGGCAGGCATGAGTTCATGGCCAGCCTGGACTACATGGTGAGTTTAGGGTAAGCCTTGACTACAGAGTTGCTATCTCAATGTGGAAAACGGCTGGTGAAACGGCTCGGTGGGTAAAGGGCTTGGTGAAAACAAACAGCCTGAGTTTGATCTCTGGAAACTGCATTAACGTGGAAGGAGCCCAGCCTGGTCTACACAGCAAGCTCCAGGACAGCCAGGGCTAGAGACCTCTATGTCAAAAAGAAAAAAAAACAAAAGGTGGTGGTGTACACCTTTAATCTCAGCCCTCGGGAGTCAGGAGAGTAAGGGCTACAGAGAGACCCTGTCCTGAAAAACAAAACAAAAGCATTCATTGAGAGAACCATTCCAAGTTGCCCCCGACCTCCACATGCACACTGAGATACACAAGACCCTGCCTGTATCAAGGGCCAAGCACGATGACCCCACACTCAGAATATGGAAGCAGGGGGAGCAGGTGTTCAAGGCATCCTAACCCATTTGAGACCTTGTCTCTCAAATCTAAAACAAAAAGGCAAGGTGGCTTTCCTGCCCCCTTGGGTCCGAGCTGAGTGTGGCACACCCTTAGGGGGTCTCTAGGGAGTTAGTGGCTGGTAGCCCTCCCAGCTGGAAGTTCACACCAAGGATCCTGCTGTCACAGGCCGCACGGCCCCACACAGGGACAACCTTGTTCCTGGCTGACTGTGGACTCCCATGAGGCTGCACTGCCTCTGGACCCTGACCTGTGTCTGAAGGCTCCACAAGAGCTGCCATTTGACAGGGTGTGACCTCAATCTGTCTCAGCCTCCTGCTGCTGAGCTGTCCCAAGGGGTAAGGCTGTGGGCAGGAGGCCCTGGGCAACCTGAAGGCCTGTTCCAGGGGAGGAGAACAGACTACTTCCCCAGTGTGGGGTCTCGTTCAGAAAGACTGGGAGGCCCACCCACAACACCTGGTCTCTAATGGGAGACTCCCCCAAGAGTGCCGAGCAGAGGCTGTGAAACCCAAACATCACTCTGTCCTCGGGCTGTACCCTGGCCCTGTCTCCCAGTAGGGTTCTGAGGGCAGACATGACAGTTGTGGCTCCCAGTCTCGGCTTGACTGCTGTGCCTTCCAGGTGTCCTGTGGCCTCTGCCCAGGATGAAGCCTCCTGGTGACCATGCAGTGTAGGACAAAGCACACAGATGGAAGGACTAGGGTCTGCTGGTCCTACATCCTTGCAGACCTTGGGATCGTGGCCCACCTGAGTGTCAGCAGGCAGACTGTTTCCTCAGGTGACAGGCGGCCATCCAAATGCTCCAGGAGACCTGCTGAGGTTTCCCCAACACCACACCTTGAGGTCAAGCCCTGCTTTTGTGCCTCCAGAGTGACTGATGCCTCCTGGGGACCAGGATGGGGACAACACAGGTGCAGCTGCCCAGCCTCTGGAAGTAGCAGAGGTCACAGAGAGTGGATAGGGTACCAAAGGGACAGGTATGTCCTTCCAACCCACAGGGTCACACAGACAGGGACTTCCTCAGGGTACATCCCTCCTGGAGTCATCCAGTATGTCCTTTGTCCCCAGGATTATTAACACCAGGCTACCAGACCCCAACAAGTCATCCCCTCTATAAAACAGGTGCTAGGACCACCTCATGGATGCCATAGCACACAGCCCACAGGCCCACCAGCTCTCAGCTGAGTGCAGACACACTGGGAGTCACGTGCCTAGGGCTGTGCCATTGCCAACCAACAAGCTCTAGAGAAAATTGCTCATGGCACTTACTGGCAAGTTGACGCCCAGGGCCTACAAGGACAAGGCTTGGGTCCAGCAAGAGCATGGTCACTAAGTGGACATCAGATGTGTGGGTGAATCTGGATGAAGGCTCAGCCACTTCTCACCATGACCCAGCTACAGGACTCTAGGGCTAGGGGCTCCTTCAAGAGTCTCCAACTGCCCCCTAGATAACAAGAATGCCATTGGTCTGTTCCATACCATCTAGACACCAAAGACCACACTACATGGCACTTAATACTGCTTTTCCTCCCTCCTCCCCGTCTGGCCCCCACACAGGTAAGGGCAGCCCCTCAATGGTCCCCAGCTCTGTAGGAAGCACGGAGTCTGGGGCAGCTTCAGCAGGCATCACAGAACAGACAGCACAGCTCTGTCCTGCCTGCTGTACGGTACACTTCCCCAGCCAGGGCTTACACACAGCTCTGTCCTGGCAGGGCCTACATGCAAGCTCTCCAGCAACAACATGCATGGTCCCCAAACCTGGGGTGGCCATGTTGAAGCTGTACCAAGAACCTCCCCTACTCCCTTCTGCTCGAGGCAATAACTGTATAATTAAGGAGGAGAAGACACAGGTCCTTCAAAGAAGGCTGCACTGGGCTCCACCATGGACAGCAGGAGGAAGCGGGGGAGGGTTGGCCTGGCCTCTGGGACATGCTTGGAGCCCAAGTGACCATCCCAAGGTGAAATCAAAGCAGACAAGCAAGAGGCACCCTCAAGCAGCGCTGCTGGCAGAGGGACGCACAGACCCTGGCCTGCAGTGGGCTCTGGAGCCTGGCCCTTTCCAGAGGTCCCCAGTCTTTCCGGTTCTCTTCCATTGGCTATCAAGAAAGTACCAAGGCTCAGCATTAGTGGGAAGTCCCTGGAGACCCATGGCAGGCACTATGTGCCTGTGATCTTCTGGGAAACCCATCAGTCAGTACCACACAGCTCTGGTGGAGACAACTACACACTTCCCCTCACAAATCTATGTACCCATCCTTTTCTAGGCTCAAGCAAAGCCCCCAGGGCAGGCAAAAAGCCCAGTGTCCACCCCCACACCTGACAGGTCAGCACTATCCCAGTGGACAGCTGGGGTTTCTCCTATACCAACAAGACCTTTGTGCTTCCAGCCCCCAGCTCCCAGGGTACCCAGGCCACAGACCCCCACTGCAGCTCCTGGAGGAAGACCCCATCAGCCTTCTGAGCTCTGAGAGCCGGGCTGGGAGAGCAGACTGCAGCTCAGCGAGGACAGACAAGTCTCCCCGCCTCCACCTACACACCAACCCCCAGGCTGCTTCCTGCAAACTGCCATCCGGAGGCCACCAAGATGAAAAACAGCTGCCCCCAACCTAGAAGCTCGGTCTCGCCCAGGTTGCACAGGAGACCCCTCCCTGAGGGCACTGTTCCTATCTCCTTTTAAAAGTCACCCGTGGACGTGGACAAAGTTGGGGCAGAGAGGTACAGGCAGGGGATCCAGCAGCCTGCTCAGACATATCACCCCTCCCTCCTTGATCCGTGTGTTTCCGGAAAACAAAGCCGGTGGCCAGAGCGGAAGGGGGAGGGCGCAGGCAGATGGGCCCAAGAGTTCCCAAGCAGCTCCCCGCAACAGGTCCCCCCTCAGTCCCTGTCCCCAAGCCCCCCAACAAACCGCCAGGACCACAAATGTGAAGAGAGACCATCAGGGAGAGGGGCTGGGAGGGTAGAGGGACAAGGAGCCGGACCCAGATGGCAGGAGGCCTGGAGACCTGGTAGAAAGGGGGTTTGGGGACAAAAAAGGGACATGGGGGGGAGGGACACGGAGAAAAATGTGCGATTTGCAGGTGGTCTGAACACCTGGAGAGAAGACACAGAAAATTGGGGGGTCAGAGCGCGAGGACACGAGTAGGATCAGAGTGTGGGGCACACTGAAGCAGAATGGGGGTCCCGAGGGCGACCGGAAGTGGGGGCGCATTGAGTGTCGCCGGTGAGTTGAGAACCTGCGAAGTAGTAGACACGGGAACTCAGGGATCAGAGAGAGGGATACTGAGGCAGGGTGACCGGAAGTTGGGGTCGCGCTGTGCAGAGCGTCAGTCGGGAACCGCAGGGTGGGGACGGTGAGCGCCCAGGTGCGGAGATGGGGTCATCTGAGGTCATGGGGGGGGTCACAGGG